ATGTACCTTGGACTAAATGTAGAGAAAATCAATGTTAATGCTGTCAGGAGTTTGCTTTTGATCCAATTGTCAGATGAAATCTTGCTGGTGCTCGTTTTGATTTTTATGTTTTTTTTTTAAGGCGTGACGGGCTGGTGGTGACGGCGTTCCTCGATCGCCGTGCCTGTGCTGCGGTCCGTGGGCGAGTGAAAAGGGAAAGGGCGTGGCCGTGAGGGCGTGAGTGTGTCTGTATGAGCGTGTATGTGTGTGCGGGTGAGTGATTGATAAGAGGAGGTGGAGGGGAGGAGGAGGAGGAGGAGAGAGAGAGCGAGCGCGAGGAGCAGGGTGGAGCGACTCGGATTGAAAGCAGTGGCCTTTGGACTCAAGCATGTTGGAAGCAGTTTAAGGTGGGCGTATGGATCGGTTGTTTGCTTGCTTGTGCTATTTTACAGAGTCGTACCTCATCGCCATGACAGTGCCTCTGAAGGATCCTTCAAGTGGGACGTTGAGCAGAACAGTCCCGACCTGGGATGTGGGCTCGGCCCAGGCAGCAATCAAACTAGCGCCCAAGGCAGCGCGCACGTCCACCATGGCAGAGGCGGACGAGGACAGGCACGTCTCTGGCTTTCTCCTGCAAGCTCACTGCGCAATGACGCTTACGATGGACTTCCATGGCTCTCTATTCTTAGATCCGAGACAATGGCTGACACTCTCACATCCACTAGCAAGTCATCATCAGCCCTGGCACGAGCACGTCGCCGAACCAAGGTGGATCCCTGTGGACCATCACCGGCTCATGCTAGCGCATCATCCATCCATTGTAGTCACCGCACCACCCCTCGCTCATCCCATTTACCATTCGTGGGACCTATAAATGGGCAATTCCATAGTCCGTCTTGCCTCCGAAACCACAGAAAGCACCACCTCGACCACCAGCTTACCCATCACGGGTGCGCTTTGCAAATCAAAGCAAGCCTTCAGTTTCCCAATCCATGTCGGTTGTCGAACGGCAAGCACCACCTGCTCGCGTCACCTTTAGCCCTACTGGACCCAGTCACCAGGTGCGGCTGTGGGTATTTGGGCTCGCACGGTTTTGGTTGGCCAATGTAGCTGAGGCTCATTTTTTGTTCCTGGTCATGGCACTGGCGCTTCTGGCTAGCTGAAGCACCTCACCGCCTTTAGGCAGCGTGCTCACACCAATGTGAGTGCATGCCTGATGTTTCGCTCTCAACCGAGTCTTGACTCACAATGCAACTGCCCACCGTCGCCCAGGTCATTATCCGCCGTGGTCACGTTTTGGATGAAGAGGTCGAAACCTTTTCAGCATTAAATCTTGCCCAACAACTGCTGCTGTTGCGCGCCGTCAAGGTGCGCCGCTTCCGTCCAGTTCTCGTTGCCCCGCCCCTTTTCTTGACCGGGATGCGACAAGAATCGTGACTCACGCCGACCTCATGCATGGATCTGTTTCTGGACAACTGGTGGGTGCCTATTGACTGCTTTTCTCCCATCATATTTAGTCTCAGGCACTCAGTCAGGATGAAGCCGATACAGCAGCGCGCGAGCTCAATGCACTGGTGAAACAGCCTGACAACCCTGAGGCCCAAACCGCGCTCAACCAGCGTATGACCAATCTTGAACACTTGGTTAAAGCTGCCGAGGATGCCCCACCCTCTGCCCGATTGTCTGCCGGCGCCAAACCGTAAGTTGACAGACTTAGTGTGGCTGCTTCGTTATCCACCCCGCCTTCTCTTTGGCCTCGCGCTCGCGTCTGTGAAATGTGCTGTGACCTTGCGGTGTCTGAGCCCAATCTCATCGGCCGCGTGATGGCTGCTCTCCCCGTGTCAGAGCTTCTGCAGCCGACGCTGATATCGATCAACTCGACAATGTTCAACGGCGAGCCGTTTTACAATCTGTGGCTTCGGGCGCTTTGCCAGCTGGGGAAGCTCTTGATCTGATGAAAGATTACTTAGACGTGGAGCTGAAGCGGACTGCCAAGTCGGCCTCCACCACCCCAACAACGTCACAAACATCCACGCCTCAACATCCTCCGCGAGCGCGATCTGCCTCTAGCAGTGGCAATGGTAGTCATGGTCGATCATCGTTGTTTTCACGGCTTAAGCGAAAAACTGGGAGTACTTCAGACGTGCTCAGTCCTCCCATGGCCAAAAGTGCGACGATGCCCGACACGCAAAGTGCTGCTGCTGGATCCGGGGATCTGTACCGCCTTGCTGCAACGCTCGACAACCAGCAGCGTCTCGCCATCCTTTCTACGGTTGCAGCTGGTCACCTGACGGTCGATGAAGCCCTACAACTGCTACACCAGTATGTGGATCCCGTGGAAGCAGTTGACATGGCAGATGAGCCCAACCAGGAGGGCGTGTTGGACGAGGTTGAGGAAGATGGTGAAGCCTCGGTGCTTGATAGTTCAGCGCCCTCTGACCACTACTCCTCATCTGATTCGGATGGGGATGGAGATGAGCCCGTAACCCCCGATCAGCTTGAGTATGTTCATGCTGCCTCGACGGCCGGGCAGACACGCACACCCGCACTGGTCGTCTCGACGCCCACGTCGCTCCGCGACCCGGTACTCCAGTTATTTGCGCCAGATGGTCATCAATTGCAGGACACTGTGAATGGGCCAAGGACGCCGCAGAGCTGGACACAGTTTGCGCCTACTTCCAGCGCCAGTGCCAGCGCTTCGCCGCGGCTTGCGCGACGCCAGCGCCAGCGCTCCAGCTCGTTCACGCTCTCGCCTCCACCTCAAACCCCCAATGTGCTCAACTCACGCAGTGTGGGCGCATCACCTGCATCCTCCCTCTCGAACCTGCGCAAGCTTCAAGAGGACATGGGGGCTAGCAATCCATTTTTGCAAGAGGTGATGCTCCGAGAGAGGGAGATGGCTGCCGCTTCGCAGTTACCCTCAGCCACAAGCGACAAGACACCACCCAAAGCAGACTAAAGGGAACGGGCCGTGTCTTCACGTCACACGGCTTAGCTATGGTCCCGTTCATAGATGGTATCGGACTCAAAAAGATCCTCCTCATCGAGAATCGAATATTCATTGCTATATGTCATGACATCGTCCGTGAAACCACGCACACGGCCGCCTGCAATCGCGCGACCTCGGCAACACTTGCAGAAAGCACAGCAATTGAGAATGCTGCTGGCCAGCAGCAGGAGCAAGGTAATGACAAAAAGAGCCACAAAGGCCATTTCACGCTTCTTGTCGATCCCGCTGTTCGTGGTGTCAGCCGTGGGTTCTGTCGTTCCCGGAGCCGGCGTAGTGCAGGTGACCTGTGTAAACCGGAACAAAGGCACGACGAGTGGCACTTTGGTAAGGTATCCGAGCTGGGGGTGGGTGCAAACTTGGGGGGGAAATACGCTACCCTCGCCCCACTGGACGCGGAACGTACAGGTGGTGTGAGGCACGCAGTGCCCGAGTAGCCGTCGGCACAAAAGCATACGCCGTCTTGACACGTGCCCCTCATTCCACAACCACGGTCCTCATTGCAAGTGTGCAGTTGGCATTCAGCGCCGTTGTAGCCGGCGTCACAGCGACAAGTGCCTTCGTAACAAGTCCCATGGTCTCCACAGCCACCACCGAGATTGCACAGCTTCGAGCGGCACGCGTCGCCGGTGTAGCCAACATCACAATGGCAAGCCCCGTTCCGACATACGCCATGGTTGCCACAGCCGGTTCCGTTGTTACACAGGGGTCGGTGGAGGCAGAGGATGGTGGTGACCTTGCGCTCACAGCTACAAACGGAAACGACAAGCACGTGTTTGAAACCTGCTTCGCAAGCCCGGACATAGGGGCGACGCGACGCCAAACCGGGGTGTCAACAGCCGGTCGGGCGTTTGCCACGTACGTCTGCTCGGAGCGGTCTGCACACATGCCATAGCAGGTGCTGTCGGCGTTTGGAAAAGGGCAGTTGCAGGCCCCGCAACCATCCGTCGGGAAGCTCACCACCGAGTTGTTCACCACGCTGACAGAAGAGCCACCTGCACAGGGTCCCTCAAGCAACCGTGAGCCAGTCTGGTTTGCGGCAAGTTGCTTGCGTGTGATCAAACTGAGTGGCGGCCGGACTCACCACCATCCAGGTTGATGGCGTTGACGACACCTTGCTGCTTCAAATATTTTGCAAATTCATACAGGTTGATGCTATCAAAGTGATTGCAGCATGATCAGGGTAGACGCGCGCATAGAGGGCACGTCGGCATATGCAGGTGTAAATGCACGGGCCTACCCGTAGTGTCCAGATTGGCCGTTATGCTGGACAATGCGCACGGCACCATTTGAGTCGTGGGCGAGTGCCGTTCTGGCTGACTGCAGATTGGCAAACTCTTGCAAACTGCCCGATTCTTCAATATTGGAACATTCGTAAGCGATGGATTCATTGACGTACACTTGGCCGTTTCGCACCAGCCAAATGGCCCCTATGTGTTTGTGAGCCCAAGTGTCGTGAGGGAAACAACAAGAGCCAATCATGCTGCTTTCGGATGCCTCATGGGCGAGCTTCTGGTGGCACGCACCGGTGATCAGAAATTGAAAGTCCTCTGCACGAGTTTCGTTGCCATCCAATTGAAAGTAGCCCACCTGCATGCAGCGGTCGATTGGTGAAGCAGGCAAACCCCTCGAGGAAGCTGTTTGTGATTTAGGGTTCGAAAACAAGGCCACGCTCACCTGAATGGTGTTGTCGTGGCGGACGCCAAACTGTACGTTGGTGTGGTTATCCGCTTGTACAAGTCGTCCATCGGACACAATGTCACCGTAGCAAGTGCCTACACCACAGAGACGCAGCCACGAGTCCCAAGTCATTGCGGGACAAGGAGTGGTACGTTGCAGTTGCACTGTGAGTGTGCGGTAGGCTTTTCTCACCGTCATGTGTGTTGAAGAAGCCAGCGTTGGTGGCGTAGATGCAGTCATGGCGGGCCGCCGTCTCTGACACGATGGTTCTGAAGATTGGGACAGCGACGACCGGAGCACATGCCGAGCCCGTATAAGAGACTGTGCACCGCAAACCAAGCTCAAGCAGGCTGCAGGCACCAGTCCAGCACGTACCGGTGGTCGCCGTCTCCGCAGCCACCGGGCGCTCCAGGCTCGTACACGGATAGGGTGCGCCTTGGGTCCAGAGCGCTGGCCGCATGAACGTAAGGGGCAAAGGTCTGTACATGCACGAGGTTGTAGTCCTCAACGCCATCATATATTGCGGCTTGAATCGGGGTCACTTCAAACGACCAATTAATCCAGGGAGAGCGACAGGTCTTGCCGTCGCGCGGGACCCGGCTGCCTACTGTCGACTGTCCGCATGCGCCGCGAGATGAGACCGGTGCTGGACCAAGAATGATGAGAGCTTCGGACATGCACCTTACCAGATCAGGCTGACCGCTGCCCAAACCAGGGTGCGCATACGGGCACAGGAGATCCATTTCTTGCGCCTGCCCTGCCAGCGGCATCAAGGCGGCCAGCGCCAGCACGATAATACCGAGTGCCCACAGCCTCATGGTGGTGAAGCGTCGGCGCGCACGCCCATGCACCGTGCTTCAGCAGCCTCGTCACCACCCACATGCACCAAGCACACGCATAAGGCAGCCAATCTTGGACCAATCTTCAGCCTCCAATCAGGAAACGCGCCTCGTTTCGCAGTACTATCGCTGCTCCACCGCTGCCCGGCCCCGCGTCACGCCGCGGAACACTCACGCACACACATGTACTGCTCTTGAGACGACCGTGCCAGAGTGGAAAAAGTATTTTACTTGAGCGATAGGTGTTTGACAATGCAGAGGTATATTTATGTTACTTCTTGCCGCCAAAATTTGAAATTGTCATTATCGTCCGGTTTTTCCTTTTTTTTTCTTTTTTTTTTTGGGTCTTTGAGTCAATCGCATTTTCGCCGCTTGACACCGAGCAAATCGCGTTGACCGTGTCATCTTCCTTGCCCGCCTGGACGTGTTTGGCTGTCTGAGAGGGCGGCGGGCTCGTTGATCGTGCCTTGGTGTTGATGTTGCTTATATTTTTTGCAACGGCTCGAGTTTGATCGCAAACGCCAGTCGTGCCTTTCTGTTCACAACCGCCAACATGGAGCCCCTGCGAGTTTTGATGGACACGGACAATCTGGCACTTGGCAGGTGAGACAGTGTGAACTCGTTCGCATCTTCGCGCAGCGAATTAGCGAAACAACACCTAGATTGGTTTTGAGATGTGCCTCATCATATCCTCCCAGGTCATTCGAAACGCCCTCACCCCTCTTGATTTTCCTTGTGCCACAGAGATTCGGGCATCAAGGATCGTCAGAATGCGGTGAGTCACCCGACCCTGTTCATCCCAGGCTCTGAATCTATGATTTTTCTTTTGGCGCTTGGCAACGAATCTCTTTTTTCTTGCTACAGCGAATCTGCTTTGCAAAGGCCGCTCGGATGTATTCTGACCGGTCCATGTTGACTTGCAGGCCTTAAAGGAAAGCGTCAAGTCACCTGGCCGAAGCCGAGGCTTGAGTCTGCTGGACTCCAACAGTCACACTCCTGCTGATCAGAAGAAAAAGTATGCATTGGCGCTTCCCATCCAAGGATTGACCAAGTATCTGCCCGCAGCCTCGATGCCACATGTCTCACTTTGACTAATTTCTTTCCTTGGCATTATCCAATCAGGAGCAAGAGTCGCCGCAAGTCTGTCGGGCGCCGCGTTTCGTTTGCCCCAACTGAACAGCTCAACTCAGTCAAGTATGTTGGCACGTTTGGGGCCGCAGGCTATTCAAGCCCAAAGCAAGCAATGCGAGCCGTCACTGTTCACCCTTTTGCTTGATTTGCCTTCGCAAACGACTGACAATGTACTTGGCTGTGCGATGGCCCAGGGAATATGTGGCTGATGCCAGTGAATGGAGTCTGCCGGCCAGCCATGGGGCTGATGGTGCGGATGATGCGTCAAGCAGTGGCTCTTTTGGCTCAAACAAGCTTTCCATCAAATCAGCGCTCAACAGCAACTCGGCTGGATTTGGAAGCACTGCAACCCGCGGAGCCATGAGCATGACGAGCAGCTTCTCTGCGGCCCGAGATGCGTGGAAGCCCATGTCCTTGCAGGCATCCATGAATGAGCCTTCCATGGGCACCGTGCTGGACTTTGCCATGCCTGCTTCAGCGGCACAGATGCCTTCAATGGGTAAGAACAAACACCGCGCTCATCCCCTCCCTCTACACGTGCGAGTCGAGGATCCTGCAACTCATGCCGCATCGTTCTGGTCACGGACATCTCGCTCTTGTAGCTGCTGCCTTTCCGTCTATGCTACAGGATGAAGACCAGGTCGAGCCCACAATGCCTTCTGCTGAAGGCAACGAGGATCTTCCCATGCCTCGCGCCAATGCCGGCGGCAAGCGCAAGTCTTTGGCGTTCAACGAGGACATGGACTTGACGGAAAACTTGGCCGCGCTGCGTGGTCAGCTGCCGCCCCAGCCTACGGCCAACATGGATGAAGAAGCTGATGCCGAGCTGCCCCCACCTGCTGCGTGCACCATGGCTCAACCTTCTGTGGATCGCCGGCAACAGCGCAAATCTTTGGCCTTTGACACGGAGATGGACATGACCGAGAACATCAGTCATTGGCTACCCACCTCGACCACGGGGCATGAAGCATCTACCGATCAAAGCAGCATGGACTGCACACTCCCAGCCCCGCGAGCCGAAGCCATGGATATGTCACGTGGCCAAGCGGAGTTTATGCACTCTGTTGATGCACCCGCCGATGACGTTGGTCTTCCCGGTCCTGCTAACTTTCAAAGTAAGCGCGAGGCACGCAAGTCCATGGCCTGTGAGGACATGATGGACGAGACTGAAAATCTCTCTCAGTACAAGATGGCTCCTGCTACTGAGCCAGCGCCCACTGCCACCTTTCAGGCCAAGCGTGAGGCACGTAAATCGATGGCCTGCGAGGACATGATGGATGAGACTGAAAATCTCTCCCAGTACAAGATGGCTCCTGCTGCCGAGCCAGACCCGCCCACTGCCAGCTTTCAATCTAAGCGTGAGGCACGCAAATCGATGGCCTGCGAGGACATGATGGATGAGACCGAGAATCTTTCCCAGTACAAGATGGCTCCTGCTGCCGAGCCAGCACCCGCCGCGGACCCCGCCAGCTTTCAGGCCAAGCGTGAGGCACGCAAATCGATGGCCTGCGAGGACATGATGGATGAGACCGAGAATCTTTCCCAGTACAAGATGGCTCCTGCTGCCGAATCAGAAACCACTGCGGATCCCATTACCTTTCAAGCCAAGCGCGAGGCCCGTAAATCCATGGCCTGTGAGGACATGATGGACGAGACCGAGAATCTCGACAGCTTGCAACGCTCGCCACCTCTTGCCGCCAGCCCGGCTGCACGCTCTTCTGAAGAGGGCGCCAACGAGGCCGACACAGGCAACGATCAAGTGGCACTGGAGCAGAACCAACATGAGTCAGTGCTGGTGTCCGTGCCCGGGTCTCACAGCAAGACCGCACGCAGCAATGGTCGCAAGTCAATGGCCTGCTTTGATGACATGGATGTTACAGTTGAAATGAGCCGAATCGAAGGACCTTCAGCTCCAGAGGAAGCGGAAATTTCTTCCGTACCCGAAGCCAAGCGGGCCAAGGTAGACAACACTAACGACGCGAGCCTAGAGATGGACGAGTATGGAGCAACTTTGCTGCGCGCACCGACTTTTGGGGCTTCTTTCGCGCCTTCCACGTCTGACCAGCTCGAGCCCAATGCGCTGAATACAACCCAGAGTCTGGACCAAAGCACGGCTGATGCACGCGATAGCACCTTTGAAGTGAACGACCCGGAGACACCGATCGATGACAATTTGGACCAAACCTTTGATCTGGTTGCTCCGACTGCCACCACCGCTGCCACCACCCCAGCAGTGGCACGAACGCAAGCGGGTGGTCTGCTGAGCCTCAATGACAGCGAGGACTACTCTGTGGATGAATCAGTAGGCCTGTCCTCCGAGTCATTCGTCATTGAGTCTGCACCAAGCGAGGCTGCAGCAGATACACACGCTGAGACGTTGTGTGCGCCAAGCACGACTAGCCTAGAGACCATGGATATTGACGTGGCCGGCCAAGAGTCCGAAAAGATGCTTGAGGTTGATGCCGAGCACAACGTCACGCTACACAACGAAGCTGGCGAAGAACAAACTGAGGTCCCTGCCGAAGACATTGCCGAGCCAGAAAATACTCACGGCCTCAGTGACGACACTCCGGATTTGTCGGAGGAGGCTGCCGAAGATGCTGATAGCAGCGCCTTGCTCCGTCAGGAAATCAAGGATATGGCTGACTCTAACATGCGTCGAATCAACGAGGCATGCAAAGACAGCATGCCGACGCTCGAGGGCGACGCCCTGGCGAGCAACGCTCTAACTGACGAGCAGGCCAGCCTAGTGCGCGAGTGTGGTGAAATCTTTACCAGCTTCATGCAGAAACTGGAGGTGAGAGGACGCATTTTCGTTTTTGCCTTGTTGTTTCTACTCTTTTGCAGTTGTGTTTTTCCCCGCAGAGGATGCAACAAACTTGCCCTTGCTTGCTCCGTCCATCGACTCACGCCACGTTTGTGCTGGACCGTGGTGTACGCCGCTGCATGCTACCGTGCTAGGTGCGCTTTGCCGGCCGTATTTCATCGACGCGCCGCTTGACGCAAGCGGCTCCAGCAGCATCTTATGAGCGCAACCCCACCGCAATCGCACGTTTGATTCACGATACAGCCGTTGAGTTGGGCTGCTACAACTGGGCCGTGGATTATCTGCAGACAACGACCGACGGCATCGAACGGGCACTGCCAGCGGAAATGGCGCGCATCATTACCTCGGCCCAAGCCAAGCTCTTTGACACTGTGGATGCGTTGGAGGGTGCAGAGCTGGAGCGTTATCAGGCCCGTGCCCTGAAGCTCAAGACAGCTAGTCATGCCACGGCCAAGCATAGTTGGTTGGTATGGCGCCAAAAGTTTGAGACTCGCATCAGTCAAGGACTACAGGATGAGGTGCGCGAGCTTGAGCAGAACGCCACAAGTGTTGACGCGCGCTTGCAGGAATTGCGGGAGTTGCGTGACACCCTCGCAGCACGCCGCGGCGAGTTGACGAGGGGGCGCAGCTCGCTGCAAACGGCCTTGCGAACCCCCGAGCAAATTGCTGCCATGCAGGATCAAGCCGAGCGCGTTGCCTCGTTGCGCGCGCGACTGTCACAGTTGCGCGAACAGGTAGCTACGCGCCGGGCGGCCCTGGCAGAGCAGGAGGAGAAGGTGGCACAGCTGGATGAAGACGTGCAAGCCAAATCAGCAGAGGCTGCCGCGCAGCGCGCTCGACTCGAGTCCTTGTGCAAGGAAGGTTCTGCGGAAGAGCTCGCACGCGTGGAGGGTCTGCGTTCGCAGCTTGAAACCATGAGCGGATGGGCCATTGTGGAGCTGTCGGAGGAGCACCGCTTGGAGGTGCTCCACACCACCTCGGGAACGCGCATGACAGTGCAGTTGCAGGCGGGCACGGAGTCTGATCGCCTTGTAGTGGCCAGCGTCAAGCTGACGCCTGCGGTACGTGTGTCGGGTAGTTTGTATGGTTGCATCCCTATTTCTGGCCACTCGCCTAAAATGCGGGCGTCTCACCAGTCGGCTCGAGGGTTGATGGAAAGTGTGGCCATGTCTCTGCTCACTGGGTCGCGCACGCGCGCGCGCTTGTGTGTGTGTGATGGTTGACGTCTGAAATGCAGAACGCCTTTTGGGCTGGTCTGCTGTCCAGTGCCAACGTGGCGACAGTGCATGGACGGGCCTGTGCTGCGGCCCTAGTGCACGTGGCTGCCATCCTCGACTCGCTGCTGCTTCTGCAAGACGACTTGAGTGTGATCACAAGTCTCGGTCAAGCCCGACTGACCACACAGGGCTCCCTCATCAGTGTGACCTTCTCGCTGGCCAGGTGTGTTTGCAAGTCTACAAACCGTGGTTGACGTACTTGAGCATGATAACTTGCTGGTGGCCCACACCTCCCCTCACGTTTCGTTTTGAAATCTGTATGAACATACCTGTAGCCATGCGCTGCAGGCGCGAGGTGAGGCCACGGCGAGTGTGGACATTGCCAATCAATTCGCATCGGCCGTGCACGTCAAGGTACGTCTTACCTGAGCTACTCTCGTGGACAGGTTGAGCATGAAATTGCCACCTGACCAATCTGATTTGCATCCGCAGCTGTTTGATGGGTCCGCTGAGCTGGCTGCCGAGCTGCAAGGCAAGCTTGAGGCGATGCCATTTGCTAGTGGCTACTTTTTGCAGATTCGTGACACTTTGCGAGCGGGTGGTATGCTCTAAAGTGCATGTACATAATAATGACGCGCCGAGGCCACGCGGGTTGGCTTGCGGTCTTTGCTCGTCTCGACCAATTGGTTGCCGGTGACTGGTATTCTTTTTTCTTTTTCTCTCTTTCCCCCTTTGATTTCGTCGTCTTCTTGATGGTCTCTTGTTGTTGCGCCGTGGTGGTCGCCGTGAGTTGTAGCAGAAAGGTTTTTCTTATAAGCTGCTGATGTTTTTGTGCTGTTGTTGAACAAGTCCTCGGGCCATCTGGTCCAAGTTGATTCCAAGCCCTCTAAAGCCTGCGTCACGCTGACATTGATCATTCCAAGTTTTTGTTGGTTCACATTGGGTTTATGCAGTTTTATACGAGATAGACGTGTGAGTTTATGTATAAAAATGTTTATAAACTGCAGTATTGCGTTGCGATGGGCGACACACGTTCCCTTGCCCGTGTTGCATCAAGCATCGGCGCGCTCCCAACCCCTTTTGATTTTTTGACCGTCCCCTGAACTTTGGTCGCACGCTCTCGGGTCTGGTACTCCTGCAGCAGCGAGGACTGGGCATTGAAAATCAAATCCGAGGTTGTGTAGGCGGCGGGTAGGGCCACAGGGAGCTGGACGTTGGGCCCATTTGGTCTCATTCATTCCTACACACCCTAGCGGACAAAAAAAGTCAAAAAGATGAAAAGAAAAAGTGTGTGCCAGAGGGCGTGCATGAAACACGAGTAAAGTCAGAGATAGACGACAACACGGACAGATCGGTAACGATGAACTGATAGCTAAAATCAGAGAGTTGAACTAAAGTCGACGATTATGCAGAGAGGCAGACCAACACAGAATAGCACCAAACAACAGGACCAAGTCGTTTTCCTAAGCTCCGACGCGAGACGGGCGCGAGGCAGCAAGGCGGCACATGGTGGTGCATCGCGCGGGTGTTTGGGAGCTTGGGCTTGGTGGCAAAGCACGATAGATCAATCGCCCGTTGTATGCTGCCCCGCTACATGTCCATGCCCACACACTGAGAGGATTTGGTCGGTCTGAGGGCACTTGGGGTGGTGCAGACGACCATCGAGGCGACAGCTTGCTCACACACTGTGTTGTGTCCGCTCGAAACGCTTGGTGGCGACCACCACCTGGCCATCAGCATCCAGGTGAGAGAGACCTGAAGTCGTGAGCTGCGTTTTCCTCGCTACACACAACGACAGAGGCGCTTGGTGCCCATCCGTCCAGCCCTCCTTCCTGCTGCCAAACCACACACGCACCTGCCCACGACCACACTTTGGAGTTCCTGGTTGCCGCTTGCTTGTCTTGGTCTTGCCGCTCAGTCTGCCCAAGGCAGGCGGGTTTAACGCCACCATGATGGCACCTACGAGTGCACATCAATCGCGACGGGCCAATGACAATACAACCAACAACCCGCGCCCCCGCAGCACTCGCCGAAACGAAGGTCTCACTTCGCACGCCTCCCACAGTGCCACCGCCATGACGACCAAGAGCAGTCGGATAGGGCATTATGAGCTCGGCAAAAAACTTGGAGAAGGCGCCTTTGGCGCCGTCCGCGTTGGCCGCCACCTGCTCTTTGATCAAGAGGCATGTGCCTCATTTGCCCCTGAATCAAGGCCATCGTCGCCAGCGCATCCTTTCTCATATCGATGACGGTGTGCCGTGCCATCCCTCCTCGTCTGCTTGCCAGGTGGCCATCAAGTGTGTCGATCGAAAGGAGCTAGCCAGCGATTATGAACAGAAAGCCCTCACACGCGAAATATCCATCCTCCAACGCATCGCGCACTCCAATTGCGTGCAGGTCCGTATGTCCCATCCCCACCACCACGGCACGCACGCACGCACGCACCCGCACACACTCATTCGGGATATCCAACCATTGTGCTCAACCTCACCCCTCGGCCACCCATGCCATCAGTTGTTTGAAGTGATTGAGGTCCAAACCAAGGTCTACATCGTCATGGAAATGGCCGTCAAAGACCTTCTCTCGGTTGTCGTGGAGGCGCAACGTCTACCCGAGTCTCGCGTGCGGTTTGACCACTTCGGCGTCTGCTCCACGCTTTGCTCATGTATGCTCGGCGCAGCGCTCCCTTGTGCCTCGCCGCTCACGATGAGCCGTTTGGTCCTTCCGCATGCAGGCGCGCAAATACACCCGGGACCTGATTGCTGCGATCGGCCACATTCACAGCCTAAACATTGTACATCGCGATATCAAGCTTGAGAACCTTCTAATTTCCCACAATGACCGACTCTTGCTCATCGGTGTGCCTCGTGAAGCGTGATATCTTGGAAGATTAGCAGGCGCCATCACGGCCAATCCACTCGCCTTCACGATGTTTTTTTTTTTTTAATGCTGTAGACTTTGGCTTGAGCAGCAGTTTTGAGGAAGGCAAGGGTCTGACGACGTGGTGTGGCAGCATGGCCTACAGTGCCCCTGAACTTCTGGGTCAAAAGCCCTATGGCCCGGCCGTCGATGTTTGGGGCATGTGCGTTCGTGCTTTGTAGCTCAGCTTGTGGAGTTCATTTGATCGGGCTTTTGCCGGCAAATCCCAGCTCACTCAACTCCTCCAACCCCCAATGATTTGTTCTCTAGTGGTGTTACCCTGTACGTCATGCTCTTTGGCAACCTGCCTTTTGTAGCAGACGGTCTGACCCAGGTATGAGCATGACGGGTCGTACCTTGAACCCTTGGTGTACTATATGCTCAACCGTTTTGCGCATACCGCACCCCCTGTTTTCTTTTTCAGTTGCATGCCGCCATTCTTGACAAGACATACAAGTTACCCGAGGACTGCGACCCTCTTTTACGAGATATCTTGGATGGCATCTTTGAGTTTCGCCCAAAGAAGGTAAGCAAGCCCGACAGCACGCAGATGTGGCTGCCAGTGGCATCATCAATGCCAAGCGGCTCTCCTGTCCACCCGCCGGCCACACTCTGGGCGGTTTGACTCATCTTTCTTTGGGCTCTGACTATAGCGCATGGCTTTGCCAGCGGTTGCTAAGCATGCGTGGATCTGTCGCGAAGGACCACCTGTGGCCCTAGATCAAGCGCGCCCTCCCTTGGCCAATGATACGCTCAACAAGCAGGCACTTGACCTCCTCTCCAATATGGGCTTTGGGACGGTGCAGGCCATATCCGACAAACTCCTCGAAGAAAGTTTTACCAGCGTTCACGGCGCATACTACATGGCCATCAAACACCTGAAACGCCCACAACGACCCGTCTTCCGGACTTCGTCCACTCCCAACCTCAGTGTGCTGGACGATACCACAAGTCCGAGTCGGGATCGCACCCGGTCACCCTCTCGACCCCTGGCTGGACGCCCCAAGGGTCGGTCGCGCAGCATGCGAGGGCGCTTGCAACAAAACTCCCCCAATGCCTCCAAAACCTCCTACACAACGCGAAACGCACAATCTGTGGATCGTAAGAGCAACAGCGTGCACGAAGGCCGTGCCAAGGAGCACCTCAGGGTTCCACTTACTGACATGCCCATGCGTCGATCAGCCAGCGTGGATGCGCTCAAAATGGTTTGTAATTCGCCACATTCCTACTTTCGGCAGACAAACAAAGAAGAATTATGGCATGTCCGATGGGCTTCTCTTGTGCCCACCACCGATCCTGCTTGCTGATCAGGCCCTGCTTGCCTGCTCTCAAAATCATGCAGGTTGATAAACATGAACACAGTCCAGATGGAACTGATTCAGACCTTTTAAACGACTCCACTGGTCCGTCAATACCATCATTGCCAGCCTTTTAGAAGCTGGCCTCATATTGTCCCCTCAGCTTGACTCAGTGCTAACATCTCCCTTTGTACCTTTGTGTCTGGCAGATTCAATTCACCCAGAGCAGGAGCACACCCCTGAGCGTAAAAGCCACCTTAACAACGGAGTATCTGTTGGTGCGTGTCAGCCAACATGGAAGCACGGCCCTTTGCCTTTTGTGATTTTTTTGCCTCTTCGGGCTGATGATAGTTCCACATACGCCTGCAGGTGCTGGGCGCCATCCTCGCAGCGAAACGTCAGGTTCCCCCTCGAGCTTGCATCGTAACAAGAGCCCACAGCCGGGCATGTCTCGCAGCATTCATGGCAGTCGACCGGCTCGTAGCTAGTATGTTGCCGGCTCTACATTGCAATGCTGGCTACTCAGGTTGCGGCAAAGAACTTGGTACATGGCTCACTCGTTTGCACGGTATTTCACAGTCCTGCTTCACCGGCCTTGAATCGAAGTGCGCCCACACCTCGACGCGACTCTGGTACGTGTCTTATTATTATTATTATTTTTTAAATGGAAAACGTGGGAGAGTGGATCTGCTAGTTGGCCCAATCCATGGCATTTCATCATGAAATTCTATCACTTTTTTTCTAGGGTCAGGCATGTCGGACAATGGGCGTGCCGTTCAACAGAGCCTGCAACGTCTGATCAACGTTCTTCAAATGACTCATGACGGTGCGCACAAAAGTCATCGTGTGTCTCGAAAGCAGATCGGGAGAACAAGGGAACGATATGCCGAGTGCGCCTCGCTAATCACGATTCCATTGCCTGTAGATGATTACGATGTTGACGTAGTCAACGAGTTGTTGTACAGTCTACTTGCCAGTGCAGGTGCAAGCGCCGACCAGCTGCGGATGGAGCTGGAGACAATGCACTGGCGCAATGGTTTTGATCATCACACGGCCCCCATGATCTCTGAACTCATGGACTGGGCAGATCATCATTTACACAAAACTGCCAGCTCACCGGGTCGGGCACTGCAGCTGGCCACCCATCGAGTGGATCAGTCCAGCTCATTCAAGCCAGTGCCTACCGATGCAGATCCGGAAATGGATGAACTTCTTCAACGCGCCCGTGCATTGCATATGCGCCATGCCCGACAAGGCGACGGTCTGGTTCTTCCCCCGCTCCATCCCCACTCGCATGCCTCGGCAACCCTATCTCGAGAGGCCTCGCCCGCTCGTGGCGATGCTGTGAGTGGCAGGACGCGCTCCCGCGGTGCCGGCGTTGTGGGTGCGAGTGGCTCTGCCCGATAGGCAACAATACATCTCCCCTCTTGGTGCCGGTACCTCATTGCCATTTTTTTTTTGTCTCCCGTCTTGATTTTCTACTGTGCCTTGTGCGCGTTTGCCTTGTGGGTACGGAACGCCATCAGCTTTAAAAGATTTTAAGAATTGTTCGATATCCCCTCCTGTTCAACCCCGCCCCTCCCCCTAGTCCGAGAGGACTTGTAGTGTGTATTTGCAGGGTGGATCTGCAGTGTGGGCGCCCGCTCTCCATCAACTTGCTTGATGATGAGGGACGACCGTTGTGGACGCATCTTGTCTTCTCCCTATGCTAGCGTTGTCAACTATCTCACTACCGCGCTGGCGGTGGTTTATTCTAGTCCCTTTCAGCCTTTCTATGCATCCCATTCCTGATGCGACAATTTTATTAGACAGCCATGTATACTCCAAGTGATCTTAAACAGCCGTGTATATCCCAAGTGGTCTCATCTCATCTGACCAAGCACACAGAGACAGAGACAGAGACAGCGAACAGACAGAAACAGAGAGAGTCCACACACACACACACACACACACACACACACCCCCCAATCTCCAAATTTTTCCGACACAACAAAAGAAAGAACAAGCAGTTTCTTGTTTGGAGGTGTAACGAAGAAGAAAAAAACTTCAACTTCAACTTCAACATGAGCGTGTGTCTGGTGACGGGTGCCAGTGGCTACATTGCCAGCCACTTGGTGGAGCAGCTTCTGGCCAAGGGCCATCGTGTGCGCGGAACTGTTCGTGATGCCAAGAACCAAGACAAGGTGGCGCATCTCAAGGCCCTGCCCCATGCCAATGAGCGGTGTGTCCGTGCTTGTTCGTTCTGCCCTGTCTCATGGCACGCGCCTCTTGGTGCATCATCCCGCCACCCGCCTTATCCAAACAACCATTGCTTGTCCCACAGCTTGGAACTGGTGGAGGCTGATTTGTTGAACCCCGAGTCTCTCAAGGCGGCTGCTCAGGGTTGTACGGTACGTGCTCAGGAAGCTTCTTCTTTTGACTTTGCTGGCGTATTTTAAGTGTTGTGGTTCAACTCAACCAAGTGTGCGATAATGGTGGGAACAGGTCTGTTTCCACACGGCCAGCCCTTTTTACAATTCTACAACGGACAAGGATGCTCTGGTCAAGCCCGCCGTCGAAGGTGAGTCAACCCATCAAGCTCACTGTCGCAAAATCGATTGCTCCTGCCTCCTTGCACCCTCATGCACCTGTCGCTGTGGTTCAACATGATTTTTAGGCACCATCGCTACGCTGGATGCCTGCGAAGCGGCCAACATCCACGTACGCCGCTGCCGCAAGTTTTGCCTCAACATGCGCTTCTTTCAACTCATGCGGTGGCTTCGATTTAGGAGATCATTCTGACATCCTCGACCGCCTCGGTTTTCGCCAAGAAAGTCGAAGAGGGTCATACCTTTACGGAGGAGGATTGGAGTGATGTTGGTACGTATGATCTGGCAGCCAGGCCCACCCTTCCTCATTCAGATGCAACTGGCTCTATTACCTCGGCTCACTTCCTTCCCTTTAGACATGATGGATGAAAACAAGCTTTACTACCCCTTGTCCAAGACGCTCGCGGAGAAGGCCGCCTGGGAGTGGATTGAAAAGGTAGATTGTGCAGTCAATGCTGTGTTGTCATGTCAGAGCTACACGCCGACCGCCTGGCGTCTTGGGGTAGCCCTTACTCACATCGATTTACCATGATGCCGTGAGCAGGCGAACGCGCGCAGCCCGGATAACACGTTCCGTTTGGCAGTGATGAACCCCACTCTTGTCATTGGTCCCATGCTGCAGCCTTCAATGAATACCTCCTCGCAAGTGCTGGCCGACTTTTTGACAGGGGCCCACAAGGTGGTGCCAAGTGGCTTCATCACTCTCGTCGATGTCCGCGATGTGGCTGCAGCGCACGTTGCCGCATACGAGAACAAGCAGGCCACCGGCCGGTACGCTGTTTGCGGGTGATGGAGAGCTTATTTTGACGCATTGGTTCAACTGATCAGTCTCACAATGTCCCATCATTCGCTTGGCTTGATTTGGCCCAACCCGTCTCAGCTACTTGTTGATCGCGGACTGCCCTGCCTGGCGAGATCTGATGCCCGTCATGCGTGATGCCATGAAGGACACGGCACATGTGCAACATCTGCCGACGGAGATTGGTGATCCGGCCACGGAACCCAAGAGCCGGTATGCGCGCGTTCTGATTAAACTCCTTTGCCCCCTTGCCACGCACACGCACCACACAGTGGTCCTTTCCTCTTGTGGGCCACAAATCAATGAAGGCTGGGCATCGTTCTCACGGCCTTGAATCGGCATGTAGGTATAACGGCGCCAAGCGCGGCTTTTCCAGTGACAAGGTGCGCTATCCGATCCGTGCACTTTCGTTGGAATGTCGATTATCTTGCCTCACCTCCGATGTTTGGACCAATGCAGGCGCGCTCGCTTCCCCTGACCTTCAGGAGCACTGAGGAATCCGTCCGCGACCATCTGCTGAGTGCACCCTTCCGTGCTCAGCTGGACAACCTCAACAAAGTAAACTGAGCTTCTTTTCGCTTTTGCTCTGACCTGTTCAAAGAGAAAGCACTCAACTTTTTCCTTGCAAAATGTCCAAGGCTGACCTCTGGCCGCACCATTCTGAGGCATTCAATTGACCACCACGCAACTGATGTTTGCTCCTGTTGTTGTCGCTGCTGCTACCCGGCACGCTCTTGCATTCCTTATCTACGCGCCTGTGTCTTGGGCATCATGCCGCCATAGCCAACGCAGCAGCCGCTGCCGAGCCGGTATGCCCGAGACTAGTATCGCTAGTGCTGCACGTTGGCAGTGACTTCTCTTTCCTTCTGCTGAAAGCACTGAACGACTGTTGCTGCCCGTGCCCCTCTCAGCGGCCAATCAACCCGTGTCTTGCTTACTGGCATTCGCCGATCATGCTGCATTTGCCAGGTGGTCATTGGCCGGGCGTACGGCCGTGGTGACCGGAGGCACCAAGGGCATTGGACGGGCCGTATGTGAAGAACTCCTCCAGCTGGGTACTGCAAATGTGACTGACACTGATCCGAGCGGCATGATAAAATGAAAGTTGCTGCCACTTCTCACCCCCTGTGTTTATTGATCTGCGGGTGTGCGCAGGTGCTACGGTTTTGGCATCCGCTCGCACATCGTCCGATGTGGACGAGACGGTGGACGCCTGGCGGCAGCAGTATGGCAAAGTAGGTCATGAAGAAACCCGTCAACTGCAGACGCCCCGGTCCCCTTCAGTCAAGTATCAGCATGGTTTGACAGTATTGTTGGGTTCATGTCATTAACTCTGCCGTGTCATAGACGCGAGTGTATGGTTGTGCTGCCGATTTGAGCACACCTCAAGGACGCGAGACCCTCGTGACTACCGTGCAAAGCACGTTTCCTCAAGGTTTACACGTCCTAGTTAATAATGCGGGCATGAACATTCGCAAGCTCACCCCGGCGTACAGCGACGAGGAAGTGGATCAGGTTTGGATGGCTTGCGCGTCGGGCTGCTTGCCACGTGATCATCTGTGTTCTTGCTATAAGCTCACATGATGGTGGCTGATGATGGCAGGTGTTGCATACCAACATGCTGTCCTTCTTCCACGTGACGCGCCAGCTCCACGGCTTGCTCGCACGAGCACAAAGCAGTGCCGTTGTACTTATGGGCTCTGTTGCTGGCCTCACGGGCGTCCGGTCTGGCGTACCATACGCCATGACCAAGGCCGCCATGACGCAGGTATGCTTTATTACCGTTCACTCGAGTGTGAGCAGCTCGCAACTTGAAGGTACCCATAATTGCACTCCTGTAGGCAGCCCGAAACTGGGCCTGCGAGTGGGCTAAGGATGGCATCCGTGTCAACTGCATTGCTCCCTGGCAAGTCTGAGATTTTCACTGCCCAGCCTGTGGGGCACTGCATGCTGTTTCGCCTGTTTGCTGAGCAATGCACATTGGGCCTCGTATGGCAGGTATATTGCGACACCTTTGGCGCAGCAAGTGCTACAGAATCCCGAATACAAAGCTGAAGTTGTTGGTCGGACCCCCATGGGCCGGTGAGTCCATTCGCTTGTGCATGTGAGGTGGTGGGGTAAAAAGCTGCTTGATTATGTTGCCATTGCTGCGGTGCAACGCTTGGACAAACGGATTCACATGCCTGCTGTTTGTCCAGGGTGGGCGAGGTGGGCGAGGTGGCCACGGCGACCGCCTTCCTTTGCATGCCAGCCAGTAGTTACATCACCGGCCAGACTCTCAGCGTAGACGGCGGCTTTACCTGCATGGGATTTTACTAACAAGTCAGCGCAACTCGCAGGCTCCATGCACTTGAAGCTCCTTTCGACAAGACCCTTTACCCCTCTGCCTTTCCCAGGCCGACGGCCTTTTTCGAGCACACGCCATTGACACTTGTCCCATGTAGCTTCACTGTCACGTCAAAAGCCAATTTACAGTCCCCGACAACTGTAGTGATTCTTCACCCCCCCTCCCCCTCTTTTCTCTGCGTCACTCGATCGTCTGCCCGCTGGACGGCCGTGTGGACGTGGTGATCCAGGGGGCGGTACTCTGACGGCTGGCACCGTGACACTGTCCATTTTGTCATATACTCCTCGGAATGCAACCTCGTTCGGCGGCGGTGTGAGGAGCGGCCGGTGCGCGGGGAGCCAAGCGAACCTGACCCAGACGTGCGGAAGGCAAAACTGATGAGCCTAAAGAAAAACTGATGAGCCTAAAGAAAAAGCAGAGCGAAACAGCAAAGCGCGACTGAGTTATGAATGAATCAATCACTAAAGTTGTCCGGGACTGTTAAAGCGAGTTCGAGTCATTCAAAATGACCGTTACACACACACACACACACACACACACACAGTTACTTTCTTTTTTGTCTTTTTATGTTGGCGCGCTCTCTCTCTTCTTCTTTTTTTTTTTTTTTCAACTTTGGTGTGCCTTTGACGTTGAGGCGGAGTGCGCTTTCAGGGCGCGTGGAGTTGGACCAGTAGGATGGCCCCACCGGGCCCGCTTGGAGCTCGGTATGTGGTTCGATCGCAGATTAGCGCGCTGTGTCGCATGGTGCGGCCGGCTGAGCTGGCGCTGCAGTTTAATGTCGAGCCGCAAACGCGGATTCGGGGCTTTGTGGTCGTCGGCCACGACCAGCGCCGGCTCGGCATCAACGCCAACGCCGACGTGGTGATTCTCGTACATCCTGATGCTGAAGGCGTCTTCTATGCCAGTGCCAACCGCATTCGTGCCGAACCCGGCCCGCCCTCGGAGCGTGCCCTCAAGTTGGCCGACCGCGTTATCGCCGAGGGCAGGGCCGTCATGCCCGCCATCACAGACTCACCAGCCGCGACACCGGCATATAGCCGCCGCAGCTCGACACTGACAACTTCAGTGCCACCATCGCGTATGGCTACGCCGCGACCGGCCACGCACTCCCAAGTCCTCAAGGACGCTGCTGTCGCTGCTGCGGCCGGTGTTCGCCGGCCACAGCCTGTCAATCTTGGCGAACTAGACATTGAGGACGACAGTCAGCCTGATACACCTGCGCTACGTCTACCGCAGGCTGCGCCTGATGAAGTGTGTGCCTTTGAAGGATGGGGCACTGCTCACGAACATCTGAACGGACCCAAGCTACTGCGCGAGCCTCGCGTCAATCTATCCAGTGATTTTCGTCCCCAAGCCCTGTTCTCCGCCTTCTTCCCCCCCAAGGCCCTGGACCGTATGGTCCGAGCAACAAATGCTGCTGCGCCTACCCTGCGTCTGGAACGGGAAGAACTGCTGTGCTTCTTTGGTTTTCACATGGTAGCTGCCACTCTGGCCTCCCCTACCGAGGAGTGCTGGCGCCGAACACATAACAAATATGACCTGATACCGCCTTTTATTGATGCCATGTCGTTAAATCGCTTTCGTGACATTGCCGCCCACTTGAAACTGACTGATGCTTCAGACAACCCCAACGAACCGGATCCTTACCATGGCGTGCGCGAACTTGTTACCGACTGGAACGAGCGCATGGCCGATGTGTACGATCCGTCAGGCCTGGCAGCTGTATTTGAGGCGCCAACAGTGCACCACTGCGACAGCATTCCTGACGCTGTTGCAGCACGCCAGTGCCCACTGCCCCTAGGCCACGAGTATCATGGCATCTGCGACGCTGATACAGGCGTGACATTTGCTTTGGAAATTGAGGAAGGACCGCATCGCCCACTGCGCCTGGGTCGGCGGCCCTTTGATGCAACGCATCCGAGCGTCACCGCCCTCCTCCTGCGCCTCACGACCACCATTCAAGGTGCCGAGCGTGCAGTGGTCCTGGGTCCATCCTTGTGCTCGCTGGAGGCCATGGTGGACTTGCATCGCCACGGGATCCACGCTGTCACTGCCGCAAAGAAGCGCCCCGGCTGGCCGCGTCACGTGCCCGGCGAAGAAGTCACGGCACATCTAGCACAATGTGTGCCAGGCAAGGTTCAAAGTCGTGCTGGTCGCCTTCAGGGCGTACCCTTGCAACTCTTCGCCGCCAACCATGTAACGCATAACCTGCTCGTGGTGGCCTCGTACGGCACTCCAGACCCGTGCTCGTCACACGTTATGTGGACTGCTCAGGGCCAGCGTTTCGTGGCCCATCGCACCAACGCCATGCATGACTACTACCGTGGTCGGCAAGCATGTGTTGACCAGCGCAAGCTCTGTCGGGAAATGTGCGAGGCTCTGGAGCGCAGTTGGGTCCCCCAGGATTGGGCCACGCGCCAGCTTGTTTTCCTCCTCTCCCTCACCTTAGTCAATGGCATGTGTCGCTTCAACAAGATGCTCACGTCCAGGCGCAATCCCAATGGTGTGGTCTCCGTTGCACATTTCTGCCAGGCCGTGGGTGCGGCTCTGATTGCCGAGTGGGAGGAGCGCTCCGAAAATCGCCCTCTCGTTGCCGATTTTTTGGCTCCCCGTACGCCCATAGCACTAAAAACTTCGACACAGCTGCCCAGACCGGACCTGGCATCCTCGGGGCAGCCGACGCAAACGGGATCGCCGATGCTGCAGCGAACTGCGACTCCTATGGAGGTCGCAAGCCCGGCCACAGTTGTGGCCACTCCCGACCCAATGCCAGAAGCCCCGAGTGCGCTGGCTACACCAGAGCGGCAGGCTGCACCGGGCCAGGGCGCGACGGAACATGGACAGGAGCATTACTTAATTAAGCTGCCTTTGTACGAGGCGTACAAGCCCGGCAAGCGTACTGCGTATCCCCGACAGCCCGTTCGATGCCGGGGGGATGGATGCACCCGCATGATTCGCACCTACTGCGCCTGCTCGCGCCTCCTATTGTTATGCGAGGGTTGCTTTGCCATTCATGCTGCTAAAGCAGCACAATCTCCGCACACTTGAATTGAATTGTGAGCTTTGCTCGCCCCACAGTCTCCTTCCCATAGCGAATCCCTATCTTTGCACGTACGCCCAGCCACAGCGATCCAAGGCCATGCCAGACTCATTGAGCGTGCATTTGTCTGCCTTTGGTCCCGCCATGTCCCACACACTTGATTTGACAACGCTCCTCTTCTTTGCTTTCAGGTTATGTGCACTGTCGTCGTCGTCTTGCTTCGCATGCTAATTCTCTCTCCGTTTCTCTCTTTCTGGTTGTAGTTGTGCTTTTCCTTTGTGTCTTTGCTGTTTATACCTTTCTCTTGCTCACACCATCCATTCTCTCTCTCTGTCAAACTCTCTCAAACTCTCGCTCGTTCTCTCTCAAAACTCTTTCTTTGTATCTTTTTTTTTCCTCTCTCAATGGCATATAGGTGATCCAGCGGGTGGGGACCAGCAGCACCATGTCGAGCTACGGTACGTTCTTATCCTTTAGATAGAGGGCAGACCGTGATGATGATCGGTGTGGGACAGCTGGCACCGGCTGGGACTCGGAGAAGAGTCGGGTGATGTGCTCATTCTCAAAGTATCTTCAGGGTACGATCGTCGGCGCGGCGACCGGCGCGATGACCGGCGCGGCGACCGGCGCGATGACCGGCGCGATGACCGACGCGATGATCGACACCGGGGCGAGCACCGAGGTGGACATCACGGAGAGTACCGTGACTTCCAAGACGGCCGTGACGGCCGGGGTCATGGTGGCCATGGTAGATATGATGCTCCCGGTGGCCCCGGTGGCTATGGTGATCGCGGCGACCCTCGTGGTGGGCGCGGCGGCTTTCGCGGCGGATACGGCCGGGACGGACCTCCAGGCCCACCGCGGGACATGGACCGACGAGGCCCTCCTGGTAAGAAGCTCACATGTAGCTTATGATTGGTGGCTGGTGCCAATGCTTGCACCCACTCACTCAGACATTGCTGTAGGCGGCAGCGGTCGCGGGTTCGGACGCGGTGGGGGACGTGGCGGCGGACGTGGTGGCGGACCGGGTGGAGAGCATGCTGGAGACTGGATTTGCCCCAACGCTGAGTCAGTACTAGCTTGTGCCAAATGACTGGCCGGCCTTGAGAGGCCTCTTCTGCTTCCCTGGTTTTTTTTTTTCATCCCTTCTTTTTTCTCCGTCAATTCTGAGCCTCTTATACTCTCCCTTTTGCCCTTTTGTGAACCGGTCAACCGAGCAGGTGCAGCAATAAGAACTTTGCACGCCGAATGGAGTGTCAGCGATGCCACACCGGTCTGCTTTCGCTCTCTGTTTGTCTTCTGAGTGGTGCCCTTTGTGTCGTACCAAACCATCTTGCCTTCTCACAGCTTGCCATGTGTCTTGATATTCAGCTCGTCCAATGTCTGCTCGACCCAAAGGCAACGTGGTCATTGGCGAGTCGGTGCGTTATAACTCCTGCTCTGCATTGTAGAGCCTTATGCACATTCCCTTGCTCAAGCATCCTTTTGTCGCTCCTACTCTTGTGCCATCGAGACAGGCTGCTCGCGGCAGCAACGGTCTCTTCAAACCCACGGATTGGCAGTGTGCCAAGTGTGGCAACGTCAATTGGCAATCTCGTTCACGATGCAACATTTGTCAGTGGCCTCGGGAAGGCAAAGTGGAAGTGCGCGACGGGTACGTCTCCTGGATCCTGGTCTATCTCTGCTTGTGCTATAGCCTGCCGCACAGATTACGCCTTGCATTCCCATAACCACCATTGTCCCCGTATCCCTGTGCAGCTTGGGGGGTGGATTCAAGGAAAATGCTGACGTAGAGTATGACCGGCACGATTCCGATTCAGAAATGTACGACGACTTTGGCCGCTTGAAGAAAAAGTATCGTGGCCAGAACGAGGGCAAATCACTTGTGCGCGAGGTGAGTCAATTGACGCTCCTCTCCTCGCTTGACGCAGTTGCATTCTTGCTGGCCCAAAGGCCCTGCGTATTCCATTCATCACGACGGGTACATGTGTTGGCGTGCAACCTAGGTGGTTGGTGAAGATCAGGGACAGGTATGGAACGTCCCTCCGTTTTCAAACGACAAGACAACCTTCTTATATTAATGCCCATCGTCTTTGCACATTCTGAATGGCGCCAACAACTTGCAGACCACATCAAGCATCGGGGCTGGGGACAGCGCGGTCGCTTCCGCAAGGGCGCGCGAGGAAGAGGAAGAGGAAGAGGATGATGAGGATGTGGATGTGTCCAAGTATCAGGTATTTATTGCATATGCTATCGCTGCACATCTCGCCATTTTACCAGCGGAACCTAATGACTCTATGGTTTACTCATGTATTTGCCACGAATGACCTTATTCATCAGTTGGATGGTGACGAAGAGGAAGAGGACGACGATGAAGATGGTACGCTTCCGCCTCCCCCAAGCACACACACACAGCGATTTGGTGCACACAACTCTGACTTGAGGTGCAAACCATTTTATAGTTGACTTGTCCAAGTACGAGTTGTAAACCATCAAGACTGCCGACACAAGTTTCTGTTCCTGGGCACGGCCTGCTTGCCTGTCGGGTGAAGTGGTTGCTTAACCTAGGTTTCATGATCAGAATTCTAAAATGCCTTTGCCTGACATTCAAACTGACATTCAAAAGGGGTGAGCTGTCTCAACTCAATTCAGGATCAGGGCGTGATTAGCGCGCTGCGCCACCAATTTATAGCACTCCCTGATGCCCTTCTTGCTCAATCATTGCACAAAACACGTTGCAAGGCTAGTAGAACAGCATCTACATGTAGTGAGTTGATCAACAAAACCAGGCACCCCAAAAAACACAGGCTGGCTGACCAATCTACAGGTTAGATGGTTTTATGGGAGACCTGCAGCTGTAAACCGATGAGAGACTTGATGCTCTCCAGCATTGGCCTAGCCTCAGGCTCGATGTTGAGCATGTAGTCCACCACGCCATGAAGCGCCTGCAACTTGTTCTCCTGCGCCTCAAGCTTTGAAGGGTAGACTTCTGGATCTTTGTAACGGCGGCGCTGCCGCCCTGCCTCCACGCCTTCAAAATACTTGATCGTATCTTGGTGGTGAACCAATGTCTCCAAGTTCTACACCACCAGCAGAAGTTGAGAGGGCGCCGCACCTATGATGATGGGCGAGCCAAGACGCAACGCTGACCTGTTGGCGCTCGCCATGAAGAGACATGACTCGCTCCTGCAGCTGCTTGTACTGGCTGGACAGTTGGGCTGTCTCCTGTCGATACTCCTCAACGCTTCGTTGCACCTACACGCAAGCCGAAAACGCCATCGAGTGAATGTAGCAGCACGAAGCACACACGAGCGGATTGCATAGGGTCTCATAACACGATGGCATCGTAGCAAGGTGGTACAAGAACACGCACTGCCTCAGTCTCTGCATCAGCCTCAGCAATGTTCTCCTGCGCATGACGAGCGTCCGCAATAGCCTGCTTAACCTTGCGCTTCAGCTCCAGCACCTGCGCCACGGCACCGCAAGCCAGTACGTGAGGCAAATAAACGCAAGATCATCTTGGGACAAGCGTGGACAAGCGGGAGAGTGAAGCACAAGGGTGCAGCATAATTTGAATTGGGCCGTGGGGGTGGGGGATTACCTCCTTCTGCACTGTCTGCGAGGTGGGCTGTCCTTTCTTTGCAGCCAGTCGTGCCTTGCTTCCGATGGTGCCACGCCGATCAACGGAGCGCTCCATCTTCAGAAAGACATAGCCAAACGCATCGACCCGTAAGACGGACAAAGTAGGGCGAAGGGTCGCTGATAGGCGAAGAAAGTAAAGTGGCTAGGATGATGGCATCTGCTCATACCTCTTTGATCAGCTCTTCCTTTTGACGGTCGAGTTGAGCAAGTCGCAGCGTCATGCGGTGGATTTCGCCGCGCATACTGTTCAGCTCATCGGCACCCTCATTCTGATTGAGTTCCGCTTTGGTTTCCTGCACGCAGAAATCCGGTCAGCGGGACGCTTGCATCAACTGATGGAGAAAAATTAAAATGGCACCCAACGCTGCGGCTGACCTTGGCCAACTGAATCTTCTTCTCCCAGAGCAGCAGCTGACGCTCAGCCTCAACCACGGCGTTGAGAAGGCGTGTGCGCTCTTCTTCGATCTGTTGCAGCTCAGACTGCAGATGCACACATAGCGCCTCTTCCTCCTACCATCCACAAAGCGGGACAACATGCAGGGAAAAAGCTCGGCATCAGACAAGACACGGATGGTTGGTGGTCCTGGTGGTCCTGGTGGATCAGGCAAGTGAGATTGCAAAACATACGCGCAGCTGGCGAACGAAATCGGCTTCCATGAGTTGATGGTTTTGCTGCAAATCTTCTTGTTTGCCGCTGCGCAAGAAATCAAATGACATTTTGCGGTGAGTCTGAATCGGGCGAGGGAAATGCCATCAGTGTCGAAAAGGATGAAGGATTCATGCGTGTGCGTGCATACCGATTACTGGTCACCAGAGTGTTGAGCTTGACAAGTTCATTTTGCAGCTGCTTGAACAGGCGTTCCTGATCGCGGATCTCACCGCGACGCTGCTCCGTTTCCGCGTCGAGTCGATATTGACGCTCCGAGAGCACCTGATGCTTCGTGCGAAGCTCGTCGAGCTGTTTTTGCTCCGCCTCAAGACGGCGCTCCTGTGCCACAAGCTCACTCTGGCGAGACAGCCATCTGTGCAAATCGACAAGGAGGAAACATTGAGTGTGCGTAACTGCGTGCGTGCGCGTGTGAGAGTGTATAGCTGCAGGGGGTTATCGATGCTTCGAAGACGCAAAGTTTCTGCACGCACCGGCCTTGCAGCACATTGTTTTCCTCGATGGTAGCGTTAATCTCTCGTCTATTACCAGGATGGGATGGGATGAGACGCAAAGAGCCATGGGGGTGAATTCTGCACAGGAAAATGCTTTCCCACTTCTCTGGCTTTTGTGTGCAGGGATGCAGACGCACCGATAGTTGGAAACCTCAATCTGAGCAGGCGAGAGATCTTCGTTTCCAGCGCCCTCCTCCGCTAGACGCGCACGAAGCGTGCCAATGCGCTAACAATCATTCGAGACGACAAGGAAGCGACGAGACCGTGACCAACAGGCTTGTGTTGACACTTGACGAACGATGGGAAAACACAAACTCACCTTATTGAGACGATCAATTTGACTCTGCTTGCGTTCGATGAAAATGTAGTTTTGTTTCATGTCTTTCTCAGCTGTCTCCACCTCTTGACCCAACGCCTAAAAGCCACAAAGAAATAGCGCAGAGGTTGGGACGAGTGATGAGAAGACATCTCGATGCAGTTTGAAGTTGATACATACACACATACACATACACACATACACATATATACACACACACACACATACATACAAGCGCATGTTCGTCTGACCACACACCTGTTCATTCTTCACAAGCTCGCGGCGTGTCTCTTCCATCTGCTCAATGTCAGCCTCATGTTCGTTGGCAGTCAAGTTGTGTCGCGCGACGGTATTTTCTGCCTCAGCAAGCAAGGCTTCCTGCTCTGCAATCTGCTTCCGGACACCCTGAATGCGGTGACCGACATTGCGCCCTGCTGCATCCACCGTCAACTTGTCTTGCATGTGCCCGACCAGTCGCTCTTCCAACGCAACTTGATCGCGTGACAAACGATCCACCTAGGAATTTAATGTGCAATTGAATGAACATCAATCGATTCAGGTGAGAGGGCGATGGGCATGTTCAGCGCATGGTTCTTGATAAGGAGCAGAGCGAGGATAGCCGGTGTGAGATGACCAGTCGTCTGCATTCATCAAGGCATACCTTGTCGCGGGCCATGTTCAATTCCGAGGTGCGAATGTTGATCTGCTGCTCATGACGAGCAAGCTGCTCCTCGACTTGTTGTAGAGCTTTGCTGACCACTGTGTACTCTTGCTGGACCTCATCCTGCTTGGCCAGCAAGGCCTCAAGCTTCTTCTTTTGACTAGCATACTCGTTTTGCAGGCGGGTCAGTTGTGCACTCAACTGTTCGTGTCGCTCCTGGGCCTGGCGAACAAGGCGTTCAAGGCCTTCCACCTCGAGTTGCTTGGCAAAGAGCTCTTGCTGTTGCTCACGTGCTTGCTGTTGCATGTTAGCGAGGGCCTCGTTGCGCTTGGTCAGACCCTGCTGGGAGGCTTGCCAAAGGCTGGTCACCTCTTTACGACGCATCACAATCTCATCGATCTCTGCCTGCGCTTCGCGAAGGGCATCTCGTGCAGAGGCTGTTTCCTCAGCTTGGGCCTCTTTTTGCTTCTTCTTCACAACAATCTCTCGTTCGAGCTCTTTGAGGCGCTCACGAAGGCGATCGACAAAGAGATCCTGCTCCTGCTTGGCTTGTTCAATCTTATCCTGGTCACGATTGGCCTTGAGCGCAGCACGCTTAGCGCCCTTGACTTCGGAGGAGAGCTCATCAGCGTGCTGCTCAAACATGATTACTTGACTCCGCAGCTCATCAAACTCACGCTGGGCTTGCTCCGCAGCAGAACGCTTGGCCTTGAGCTCCTTGTTGATTTGATCGTGCAACTGTTGCGTCTCGTGGAGAGCTTGCTCCACGGCGGCGCGGCGCTCAGCGTGCACGTCTTTTCCATCAGCAGCATTCTCGAGGCGAGCCTGGAGGGCGGCCAGCTGTTGCTGAACGCCATACAGCTCCACGCCGAGCTGTTCACGTCGTTTGGTCTCCTGCTTGAGGTTATTGTTCTGGTCAGCCAGCTCCTCCGAGACCTCTTGCTGACGCTGCTTGAGCTGTGCCTCCAAGGCGCGCTGAACGCGCTGCATCGCCGGGTGATCGGGATGCAAGATTTCCATGTCATCCCCATCAGCATCGTTGTCATCCTCTCCCAGATCATCTGCGTCCTCGCGCCATGACTCGTCCTCCATGGCCGGGCTGGCCGCCTCGGCCCGTCCCCGCGCTGCCATCCTGCAACTGACAAGTGAAGTTTATTTTTATAGAAAAAAAAAAGAAGGAACGAGGAGGTCCCTTGTGGGATCACCTTGCAATCAACCAGCCACCTCAAGCTGGACAGTCGCCGACAATCAACCTCCCCAGGAGGTCGCGAGGAAGGTCACAAACGCTGCTCTGCGGTCGGCGTCTTGTTTAAACTGCGTTGTCAAGTCGCATCACTTTATTCACGCTCATGCACCGTGTAGCAAACGCAAATTAAACTGTCAACATGCTCTGTAATTTCAACAAAACACACACACACGCACACACACACAGCAAAGTTGTATGTCAGATTTTATTGTCAGATTTTGTTCACCGCGCCATCAACGGCGACGAAACCGTTATAAACGATTCGGGTGCGTGTGACTCTCGGCGGGACGAAGACGGCCAGGGCGCGATCCGTGGCCTGAGGAGGGGTTGCTGTGGTCTTTGAGAGCATGGGAGCGAGGGGAGCTCCACACACACACACACACACACACACACACACACACACACACACACACACACACACACACACACACACACACACACAGATGACTATGGCTTCTATCATTACTCAGTCAGTTTCACTTTGTCTGTCGTTTGCTCGCCGCTGCGCGCTCACACATGGGCTTGATCACACCTTTTTGATGTCTTCACAGTCGATGGCTTGATGACTTTGACCTCGGCTTATTGTTCGACCGGGAGCAAGTTGCCCGTCTCTGTGCCTCGCTAGCACCCCGTGGGTGCGCTGTGCGGCTGCTGAGTGAGGACCAAAGGAACCATGCCCATCATGCCCCGTGCCGAGCACGGCACTAGAATAGAGGGCAGTGGAAGCGAACGCCGCTATGCTCGAACCAAAGTGTTGGGCCGCGGTGCCTTTGGTACCGTTTTTCTGGTCGAGTACGTGGCTGCCGCCCCAAGTTGGCACATGCTTAAACGCGCTCACATGGTCCAGCTTTCGGCCGCTTTCTCTGCGTGTCACTGCCGTGTGCCTCAGCAAGCGACTTGTTGGTTTGTCTCATGCTTTCACAGGGATACCGAAACGCGCGAAAAGGCTGTGATGAAGAAGGTAAGCCAGCCTCCCGAGCACTCCCGGCAGGCGATATGCCTCTCTCTCTTTCTCTCTCTCTCTCTCTCTTCCTCTCTGACTGCTCATGCTCCTTCGGGCACATACAGGTCATCTTGACAGGCTTATCCCGCAAAGAACTGGCCGATACGACAAATGAAGCCCAAATTATGAGCCGTCTCAGGTAGCCTCAAGCTTACTCACGCCCTGATCTGCCGACACGGCAGCCATTTGCACGCTGCCCCTGACAATGTTCTTGCCCTGACGCATATGCGCAGCCACAAAAACATCATAGCATTTTTTGATAGCTTTGTCGAGGGTGATGCCCTCTGCATCATCATGGAGTATGCCGGGGGCGGCGATCTGGATCAAGTCATTCGCAACTCCAAGCGCGATGGCACCTATTTGGAAGAGCTCCGCATCTGGCACTACCTGATCGACATTGCCCAGGTAAGTGCCGAAGCATTCTTGCCATGGTCGAGGCGCTTGTTTGGTACTTCTCGCTCTCCCTCCACCTCATGCCGCCCACACCCTTTGCGGTGTAAACGCATGGAACCAACCAGGGTTTGGCCTATCTTCATGATCAACGTGTGCTACATCGTGATATCAAGCCGTCCAACGTTCTCCTCGACCATCAGGGCATGTGCAAGATTGCCGACCTGGGCTTTAGCCGTCATCTCCGTGCGTCATCTTTTTAAAGCCTCTGTCTTATTCATTCACTGCCCGGGACATGGGCTTGTGCTACCACCACTACCTGCCCTCTGTGTGCTCATTGACGTATCGTACTTTACCGGATTTCCATTTTCTTTTTAGGGGCGTATGAGCAGCAAGCACGTAGCACTGTGGGCACACCCTTATTCTCAGCCCCAGAACTTTGTCAGGACCTGCCCTATGGAGAAAAGGCCGACTGTTGGGCCCTAGGTGCGTCCGTTTTGCAACATTCCCTTCAAATTTGCCCCCGCGTGAGCCACCAAGGCACTCATGCGTATGCGGCTTCAACAGGGTGCCTCCTCTACGAGTTAACGGCGCTTACGACGCCTTTTCAAGCCACCAATGCCGTAGCCCTAGCTGGTAGGAGCCATACCGCCCTTGCTCGATCACCCAGCTACGCGCCTGCTCAGGTTTTGTCTGCTGCGGGTTCCACTGTGTGCGTTGCACAGGAAAAATTGTCAAGGCAACGCCCGACCCCCTCCCCAAACAATACAGTGTTGAGCTCGCCTTTTTATGCGATCGCCTTCTAGAAAAATCCCCAGAGCGACGCCCCAGTGCATGGCAGGTCGGTGACTGTACTATACAACGGACATTTTGGCCCCCCGAGCGACTTTGCCGACACTCGCGCGCCATTTTTTATTTTATTTTTTTTTTTTTTTTTATTTTTTTTCTCCGCCTTGGCTGAACTTGAAAGCCACTCACATTTGCGCTTTACAACCTGCTTACGTTTTCGTCATGGGCAGGTGTTGCAATACCCAGCCACCTCAATCCGGGCCGAACATCGGCAGCTGCAGCAGCAATTGGCCGCCCGACCATCAACCCCGCCACCACCGCACAATCAACACGACGACAGCGAGGCGCTGCGCGCCATCATTCGTGAGCAGTCTCAACTCATTCGTGATTTACAGCAAGACCTGGCCCACGCTGACCTGGCCCGCGCCAGACTTCAGACAGAGTTGCAGTTGGCACACCAGCGCCCACCCGCATCGCACTCGCGACTGACTCCCACCTCGGCCCCAGCTCTGCCAGTGTCACGCTCTTCGCCACCCATCATCGCCGGTCCTGAACCGGAGGGCGCCGATTCAAAGCACTTTGCGATGGACTGGGAACCCCACCTTCTGTCACCTAAGCCCACCCGCGGAATTAGCCACTCACCACAGGAGGCTGTGACCGACAGTGGACCCAGCACCGATGCTGTCTTTGTGAGCACGCCCGCGCGACGTGTAGTCGCGCCCTCAACCAGCAACTCTGACTACACTGACCCCATGCAACGTCACAGCGAACTGCGTCAGCGGTTGTTGGGTTCGTTTGATGAGCGGGTCGTGCAACGTGGGGCTGACAACCGGGCGCTCGGCTCGCCCATCTGTACTCAGCCCTCCAAGACGGGCGCGCTCGCACGCCTGCACGAACGTCAGCGTGGACTGGACACCGTGTCTGCCTCGGAGCCACTGGTGCTGCCACCATGGGATGTGTCCCCTCAACCCGACCGAGCGCCAACCCACGGACCTTGTGATGCACTGCATGACATCTCCAACGTTGGCGCGATAACTGACCTGGACCATCGGCCGCCAGTGTGCCTCGATGCCGTGACGGAACATCTCGAGATGGAGCACGAACGGGCAATAGCAAATATTCGCGCCGAGCTACCTCTGACTGGATCTGCTCACTTGCCCCAGGTGCGAGTGGGTACCGGCTCGTCCCCTGCGCGTCGCCACACCGCGGATCTGACAATGGCTGATTTGGAAGTGGGCAGCGACAAGTTGAGGCGAGGTCAACCGAGTCGGACGCGATCCTTGGAAATCCAGTCACACGCCAAATTGGCAGGATGGCCCGATGGGGCCAGTGATTCCCTTGAGGAGAGTGCTATTGCCGAGCACTCTGATGGGGAGCTGTCGTTGCTCGAACTTGTCCGCTCCCTGGGCGAGGTGTAAATCAAGCCGTGGTGATGCGACATGGCGGGCCGTTTTCGCTTGCCTGTGTCCATGTTTTTATATTTGTTCTTTTTTTTTTTAGACTTTCCACCTTGGTGTTTCGAATTGTGCTGTGATCGCGATGTGCGCCCTTGAGGTCCGGGCCCTGCCTGAATGGGGCGCGTGCCTTGACGGATCCGCGGTTCAGGATTTGTGCCGAATTTGGTTGTTGCCATCCTTGTAATAAGAGAATCAGACATAAGTGTACGTATGTGACCGCGCTTCATGCCCAGATGAAGAGGTAGTCTGGCTGATGGCTATCTATTAAATTGACGGCTAGACTCAAACGTAGTTGTGGATTCTGATATCATGACATCAATTCAATTCAGCTACTGTCACAACACTTGGGCTGGACCATTAGCCTGTTCAGCATATGGGGCACAATTGAAAATGTGGCGAGATGGAAGCAAAGTGATCTTCGGTTTTTGAAAACCACACGAGAGTGCAAGACAGACGCTTCCGACCCGGCAGTCCTTGAAACTTAACTTACGGACATCATGCCACAGTCGACCTCGAGCCATAGGATGTTCTCTTTCTCCATTCAATTTTATTATTTCAAAATTCCCATAAAATTGATGTGTAATGGATCATGAGCTGTGCCCCGCCGTTCTTTTCTTCCTTCCTTCCTGCCCGTGGTCAATCATCTTCCCACTGCCTGTCCAGGGCGCACCAGGCCATCCCCCATATACAGGGGTTGTTCCTCCAGCAGTTTCCCGAGCCAAGTGGAGACGAACATTCTCGCACCTGCCGTGGAAACAGGCAAACAGGTCGCACATGCCGTGGAAACTGGCAAACAGATCCAACTGAACAGCTGCATGACAAGCGTAACTTGAAATGTCAGCCATTTTCCCGTCAAGGACGGCGCTCAGCGGCCGTGCGGCCCTGATGCCCGCAGTGTGACCCGGTTTGGGGTGCTTTGAGGCGAACGAAACGGATCAAGGGAAGCGTGGGCCATCCCCGGCAGGACGTTTCGGCGAGATGACCATGTTTTGCAAGCTCTACAATACCCCTGGCAGCTGTCCCAACGGGGATTTGTGCAGACATCTGCATCGTCCCGTGTGTACTCGCTTCATCCTTCCCGGCGGCTGCCCCAACAGGTCTGCATGTGAATACCAACACGTGCAGGAATGTAGATACTTCAACACGCCCAACGGATGCCGAAACGGTCTGTCATGCCGTTTTCCGCATCGTGCGGCCCCGACCTTTCACCAGAGTCACTACAAACGCGCGTATGACGCCATGGGGCCCAAGCCACAGCAACGTCGGGGTGCAAGCCTGCAGGTGGAGCAGGCTTTGCGCGACAACCTGGGCGACGAGGTGGGTGACAGGTTCTTCAGCCTTCACTACGAGGAGGGATTGACTACAGCACAGAGCGTCATTGCTCTTTGGTGCGAGGATGTTGGGGTGTTCCGCACTTTGAATGACATCATCATCGCTGACGATGCCAGGCAGTTCCAGCTGGGGTGGATGACGTTTATTCGCATTCTGACTGCCTTTCTAACGCGGCAAGATCATTGCATGGATCGAGATCGCGTTGTTTGGCGGGCATCTTCCATGACACGATTGCAGGCTGACAGATTATTTCCAGATATGGTCATTCGGCCTCCCATGTTTGTCTCTACCTCAGCGCTGAAGTCGGGGGCTCTCAAACTGATGCGACGCAACAAGCGCTTCTTGCTCAGGATTCATGTGCCGGCGGGGTGCCGAAATGCCGCCTATGTTGATCATCTGTCCCAATACCAGCAGGAACATGAGATCTTGATCCCGCCCTATAGCCCCTTCGAAGTCATTTCAGTTGATTTCTCAAGGTGCTTGATCAATTTGCGTCTGCTTGACGGCATGCAATATGAAAGTGTGGAAAGACGCTCGGGCATCAGCGCACCGGCCTTTCCACTCTGACCAGTCAAGTGTGGCCAGCAAACGAATTAGCATTGCACCCTCCTCTCTTTGGCTGCAGGTGGTGGTACCCAGATCCTGTTGTTTACATGTTAGAGAAAATTTATTTACACGTTGGAATTATTTGCATCACAAATTGGCATGGCTAACGCTGTCAGCTGGTACGTTTCAAGGCCCGGTGAAGAGTCAAAAGCCTCTCTGCCCTTCCTATTTGTCATTCTTGTTCAGAGAAAGTAGGCGGGCGGGCAGCGAGACAGATACAAGTACTGGGTCGATTGAACACACGCGACAAGAGTCACACACAATAAACGATTGGCCCTGTCAGACATCAACCAGCAGCACACCCTTACTGGACAAAGTATACCACAAAGACTTGGTCATCACCGAGGCGGTTACAGCTGGACCATAGCGTGACAGACATACAGCCACTTATAAATGCCATCCCTGCCAAGAGCGGAGTTTATGTGCTCAAGAAGTTGGCAGCCATCAGCAGGTCGAGAACGATGCTGGGATCAATGTGAAAGTCAGGGACTTCCTTGTTGTGGTTTTCATAGCGTTTCTGCACAGACCGAGCGAGAAACAATACAGTGATGAATTGGCCCTTTACGCTGTGCTCTTCAGGGGCGTTGGGAGTGCCCGGTAAGTCAATCCAAGCCGAGCAGCGCACGGTACCTTGTAGTAGAGGTAAATGCAGACACGTTCCAGAACATGTGACCTACGTGGGATGCAGAGTGTACATTGAGTTTGCGCGCAAAATGAGGCGGCAGGAGGGGCGCCTCTTTGTACACAAATTACAATTAAACGCCCCAAGACGCAAAGGGGTCACGCTAGTGTGCACGACGATGCCACGTACGGAATCTCGCGGAAAGCCACCTCGTTGTGCTCCTTTTCACTAAACTCGCCTGGTTGCGCAGAAGCAGCAAAGTCGAGGGGAGCAACTCGTGAGTGAGTTGATTTTAAAGCCCATTGCAACACAAGTCACCCCCATCCCCAACGATGTACTGCGAAGGGTCCAGCACATACCAGGGCCAGCCAGCATGTTCTTGATGGTATCTGGAACGATGGCCTTATCGCGCGCCACGAAAAACTCGTGCTCGTCGGATGACACCAAGTTCACAAACTGGGTCCTCACCGGGAACGGGGAGTGGGATAAGGCAGTGAGGTTGGTTCAAACAGCGTAGGCTTTCGCTGCCAACAGCAGGCCGTGCGGCGCACCTGGGCCTTGGCAGTGTCCGAGGCGGAAGCTTGGTCGGGTTTAGTATCCATTCTGCCGGTTCAGCTGGCAGAAGAGCCCGTCATGGCGCGTGAGTCAGCGGCCGCGTCAAGCAAAGCCCCCCGCCTCCAACGACCAGGGGGGAGGTATCATCATGACACTCATCCCTAAAGTCTCTCAAAGCCAATAACACCCCCAAATCCCTCCATTGACCCCAAACCCCAGCCCTATCCACCTCCGCGTCGCACTGGTCACCACCCGTCACCACCACCACCACCGACTGAGCGAGCGAGCGAGCGTCGCCACCATCATCATCATCAACATCATCAGAGTGCTACTGACCCGAGGAGAGAGCGAGAGAGCGAGGGAGGTGTTGGTTGTCAAACAGAAGAACAAAAAAATTAAAAAAAAAGCGAGAGAACAAAGCGAAACGCAATTAACATCCCAGGGTACAAGTTTATTTTGTAGCTCTTGATGTGCGCTTCTCCCTTTTTTTTTTTTTTTTTTATAGTGTGTGCTGTGGTCAAACGGCAGCCCCGGGGCGTGGTCTTTGGGTGGCGTGTCCTTGTTTGACACGGGCAGAGGTTGCGGTGGCGGTGGCGGTGGTAAAGCTTACAAGAATAGCGTCTGGGGGTTGAATGTCAAGTGAGCCAGAATGGCGTCGGCACGCGGAACCGGTGGTGCCGTGCCGGTCGTGAATGACCGAGGCGAGGTATGTGCATCGAGTTGTCTCCTGGCCTCGCTCATGCACGCATTGGCATGATCTTCGGGGATCACACGAGCAGTGAAATGATACGTGGTCAACTTGTGACGCATGGGTGGGGGGCTGATCTGCTTGCTGCGTACGTCGACGCCATTTTTCTCCTTCATAGGTCTCCATGGCCAAAGTCAAGGTGCAACGTTACGTCGCTGGCAAAGCCCCCGAGTTTGCACAGGATGGCTCAGATGTATGTGCTTTGGTGCCGGAGCATTGCTTTTTCAGGCCCGTCCGAATGCCTGGTGCTCATCTTGATCCCATGTTTCGTTCTTCAGGACGAGGACTTTACCACTCGCGCACCACTTCAAACCTCCCGCGAGCTTCGGGTTCAAGCCAACGTGCGTGCGACATTCGGTTGATTGCCTGTTTGCCTGTCCTGGCCTGTTGGTTCTTCGTGCTGCACACGGCAATTGGTGCAACCGATTTGTATTCCATCTTGTCTGAAGTCAACAAGGCTCAATGTATCGTCGTCCCGGCTGACCCTACCCTGTCTGCGGGGATGCGGCAACTCATTCAGGTGGGACAGCGATCATCAGCGGCGGGCCGAGCCCGCGTGGCTGTCATTGAGGATGCCGCGAATGACAGTGATAGCGACGATGATAACGCTCGACGTCGGCGTATTTTGGCTCAGCGCCGACGGGTATGTTCTTGAACAAGCGTTTCATCTTGCGTTCCTATTCCTACCTCACCTATTTTTGCTTTTTGCCACTAACGTTCCGACACAGGAACAAGGCGGAGAGGAGGCCGCCCCGCTTGTTTCCAAGGTATCAGGACGTTCCGAGGTGACGCAGAGACCCGCACGTCGTGCCCAGGTTGGTACCTTTATGCACTCTCCAAGGACAAGTGAAGAAGTATGCCAAGGTCAAGGCTGCTCACCCTCGTGTCTCTGCGCGTCGTGGGTGCAGCCAATTGCCGAGATTGTCGAGGAAGATTCGGCAGAGTCTAGCGATGATGAAGAGGCTGCTGAGCGTCGGGCGCGGTGAGTGGCCCGTGAGACTCGAACTAACCATGGGCACCCTGTGCTAGCCTGTTGCCACCTCATGGACTTGTGCTTCTATTTATGAAATATGCATCGGTTTTTGATTAGCATTCTAGCCCGCGCGCGAGCTAAGCAAGAACAACAAAGCGACGAGGCTGTAGCGGACGCTCAGGTGAGTCATGTACTCGGGTGGCACCCCATGGAACACGAGGGTCAAGTCACCTCACTTGCTGCGTTGCGTGTGCTCGCCGCGTCTACTAGTTGCCCGTGAGTGCGCCGGCGGGTCGAACCCCGGTGGCTGAGGTGGAAGAATCAGGCTCGGAGAGGTGGGCCCCGCCTTGACATGTTCAAAAAGCTTGAGTTTCTCCTCGCTTGATCGCCATCTGTCAGCCACTCGTACCCATTCATTGGCCCTTTGTTCCACAACAGCGATAGCAGTGAGTATGAAACAGGAACGGACTCGGAGGAGGAGGCTGGCCGACCCCTATTCAAGCCCGTCTTTATCAGCAAGTAGGTCTTAAACGTGCGCACGAGAGTTGTGTTTTTCCGCTCGTTTGTTACCTTGGTCTACGCTTCATGACTAATGGCTGGCTGTGGCACGCCACTCCACCCCCGAACAGGCGCAACCGCCACACAAAGCGGGAGGAGGAGGAGCGCATGCAGCGCGAAGCCGAAAGGCTGGAGCAACTGGCCGTTCAGAAGCAAGGTCTGTGTGAGCAGTTGCAGCATGGTCCTGCTGTACGGGCCAGGTCTGGTCGCCAGGACTCAGGGTAACTTGCACCGTGCACAGAAGCGGCGCTGGCCGCCAAGGAGGCGGTCGAAGAGCTTGTCAAGAGTGAGTTGCAGGCTGAAGCTGATGCCACCAAGCTCAACTTTGTGGATGACGACGACAAGGAAAATGATCAAGAGGCGTATCTTGAGTGGAAGGTGGGCTCGAAACCGAGCGTCGGGGTTTGACTGGTCGGCATGCGGGGCATCTCATCACGGTGCGGATTGCTGGTGATGTAGCTGCGCGAGCTAAAGCGTTTAAAGCGGGATCGGGAGGAGCGTGAACAGGCCGACCGCGAGCGGTGCGTTGTAGTGTGCATATGCACTGCCGCGATCCTAGCCTACCTCATGCCTTGCTGCTTGGATGGCGGCATTTTCCACACAACCCCGGATGACAACCCGCGGCGGCCCAACACTGCGGCTCATGTGTTCTCTTGGCCTTGGGTTGTAGCATGGAGATTGAGCGGGTTCACGAAATGACCGAGGAGGAGCGTGAGGCGTACTTCAAGGCTAACCCCAAGGTTTGTATTCATAGCTCGACGCCTCGGTTTGGTTCGAAGCAAACGTCGAAGGAGCAAGCTGGGTCACACTCATCACCGCATACATATGTATTTTAACCCGTTTGTGTTTGGGGTTGGGGACGTCCGTGATGGTGCATCAGATGATCTCAAATCTCAAGGAAAAGGGCAAGATGAAGTTTTTACAAAAGTACTATCATCGCGGTGCCTTCTTCATGGACGAAGAGCATGAGGTGCGTGCCGCGAGTCGTACCATGCCACAGAAACGTTGTCCGTGAGCCCACGGTGACTTGTTTGTTCTCATCATCTCGGGTTTGATAGGTTTTCAAGCGCGACACCATGGAAGCTACGCTGGAAGATCGTCACAACAAGGAGGCCTTGCCAGCTGTGATGCAAGTTAAAAAATTTGGCTTTGCAGGCCGCACCAAGTACACGCATTTGGCAGATCAGGATACAACGGATCGGTACGTTTTTGGGTGGCACACAGCTGTCTACACGTCATGCTCGACGGGTTTCACCAATATGCTCTTTTTTTAACCATGCTCATTTTTTTTTCCCACAACGGCTTTCTGTTCTCTGATGGTTCCTTGCAAAACACATTGGCCTTGGGGTGTTTGATCGGCCTTCCCTTGCCTTTTAAAAAAATAGAACGGCAGCCTGGGCGCAAAAGACTGCCATCAATGCCCGGGCAGAAGCGAAACAAGCTGGTGTTCGACCGGTCAGCTACCACTTTCCAATCGCGCCCATGTGCTTTCATCCTGGTCGAGTGCCCTTGTTGTATCATGGTCTCATTTCACACCGTGTCTTTAGGTGTTTGAACGCCCGAGCAAACGCTCCAAGCACGTCTCATAGCGCCACAAAATCACAAGCCCAAGGATCTGGACAGGCCATCTGCTCAGTGGAGTCGTTGGTGTGGAGGCGGCACTTATCGTGGTGTTTCAATGTTTTGGAGCACGCGAATTCAGAAGATGAATTTTTGTCTTTTTCTTTTTTTTGAAACTACGGCACGCCATGAAGCATCTGGCTGAGCAACTTGATATTTTCATGTGGGCTGCACGGCAGCATCGTGTCTAGGCCTGGGCGTTGTCCTGGGTTCAGACAGCTCAAGCTTGACCCGGGTACATGATCATGGGTGGGGCCACAGTTTGCACGGCCGCTTCGCCGAGCAGGTGGCGAACAATGGCAAGCGCAAACTCCATTGTGGTGCCTGCCCAGGGGCGAGGGGCAGAGCAATGTGAAACGAACCGACAAGCGAGCGGGCAAGCGAGCGTCTTGGGTGCAGAGTGACATTTGCTTACCGGGACCGCGGGAGGTGATCAGGTTGCCATCCACTACGACACGATCCTCCGAGTATTGAAAATGGGAGCGCACATCATCGGCTACCCCGGGGTGGGAAGTGGCACGCTTGCCCGCACCGATGTTGTGCTTGGCCAGTACCGTAGTCGCTGCAGCCAGCAGGGACAGGGACAAGCAGGTGAGGGCGGCTGTCAACCTTGGGGAAGCGGATCAGAATTGAGAGTCGGCAGCAAAGCACAAGGCCATACCGGCACAGACGGCAGCCACAAGCGCGTTCCGCTGAACGTGCTCCTGAAGCAGTTGACCAACCCTGGACCAAGGCGTGTTCGATGAATCATGGCACGAGATGACATGATGTGTCCTTGTACAGCCCCCCCCACAAAAGAAGGAAATCATTGGGTGCAGTTTGGGTCTGCTACATGCTTGACACGACTTACGTGGCCGAGTCACGTAGAGCAGCAGCCCCGCCGGCCCCACCGGGCAGGACGAGCACATCAAAGGGCCCGGAGGCCTGGGCTGCAGCCAGCGCCATGTCTGGCACGAGGACCACATTACGGCTGCAGGTGATGGGATCGGCACTCTCAAGCCCAGCGAGAACGACCTCAAGCTTGGCCCGGCGCAATACATCCACAGTTATAACCGTTTCCATCTCCTCGGCGCCCGGCGCCAGCAAGACCAGTGCCCGCTTGCTCGCTTCTTCCGCCATCTTGTGAGAGAGAGAGAGAGAGAGAGAGAGAGAGAGAGAGAGAGAGAGAGAGAGAGAGAGAGAGAGAGAGAGAGAGAGAGAGAGAGAGAGAGAGAGAGAGAGAGAGAGAGAGAGAGAGAGAGAGAGAGAGAGAGAATTGAGAGAGTTGAATTGAGAGAGTTTGAGTTGTTTGAGAGGAGAGTAGAGAGTTTGAGAGTTCT